ATATTTATGATATTCGGTAAAAATAGTTTTAAGCTAATTTTATATTAATTAATAATCAGAATATAGTTCTTGTACGATTAATAATTATGTTGTTAGTAAATAACAGATTCTATAGTAAATAATATAAAAATACAATGCTAACATATTTGTTATTTCATGCAAAATGAATTCACATAAAAATTAAATTGCTTTTTTAAACGATATTAAGGTATGTGATTATTTCCACATATGTACGTCAAGATCTTTTATAAAAAGTCCTTGGATTTATAAACGAATTTCGTTATTTATGAGTGAAAGGAATTTGATTAATATAAGCCATTACAAAAATTGCTTAATACTGTAACATTATTTTAAAAAACATACACCTTTGATCCATTGGAGCGAATATATTAACTCTGCATCGTAAAACTGTTTTTGTGTTCGATTTTACTTCGCTACTTATTACTTATTAATATAAAAATGATTATTTATACTATATAAAAAATCTATTCATAATTGATTAAATATATTCGATATTACTCTACTTTAGGAGTAATTTTGTTTAAAAAGCACCAGCTAATTAATTATATATTATTGACAATAAATAAAAAAGACTGAATAATATTTATTTATTTCCTTGTACCATTGTGGATTTCTAACAATGTTAATTTTAATATTAATTTTTTATTTTCTATACCTTCCAATTATCTCTATTGAAAAGAAGTTTTAGAAAAAATGTTAGTATCTATGTGATTATTAATTAATATATAGTACCAATCTTAAAATAGGCACAATGAGAGTTTCGATATGTCACTCCAAATGATTGAGCGCAGATAAAATATCGTAGATGATAGTTTGCGATTAATGATACGTAGTAGAAAACTAATTAGAAAAAGTACGCGGTAGTTAATAAAGGAGAAAAGCAGTCGAAAAGTAAAATAACAAAATTACTTTTATGGAATTCAACAAACAAACAGACGGATCCACAGGACGAAGCTGTTGCTGTAGGTTCGTCATTCCAGTCGCGGCATCCGCTCCAAATGAGAATCCAGGCAAGAAAATGACTAAAGTCGAATTTTCAATGTCCCCTAACAGAAAAAGTTCAGTAATTCTGGTTGTATCTCAATATACATCAAACGAGCTGTAGAGGTCTGAAGGCTCTAGAAGTCCCGTATTTGAATTATTAATTTGTATATAAAGATAGGGTGCCACATCCCTTTCGACTTTTCGATTTGTCGTAATTTTTATTATCCATTTTTAGCCTAAATAAAAAAATATTGATTATTCTACATTATTATACCTTATCGTAGTTTTTATGAAAAAAATTTCTTTGTAAATAAGTGATGAAATAAGCCCAAAATCTGTATAATTCGTTATAAGTATAGTTCAAACAAATTAATAATTTTCAAAGGATTGAATAATTTTTGAAATTTTACACAAATTTTTTATAAATTAATAATTATTTAAAAATATAATAAAATATTAATATCTATTGCCGATAATCATGTATTTGACTATATTTTTTTTAAATGACATAACTATGTGTTTTCATTATTATTCAATGTAAAGTTTTTTTCCCTTCTGAATTAAAATTTTGTTTACATTATTACAATATTCTCCAGCCTTCAGACTATTCGTGTTTAGATAGTAAAATTTGTTGTAAACATTTCTTATTAAAATGTGACAATTCACATTAATATTCCATACACATTTTCTAATATAAATAAATAATTTTGTTCATGTAAATAATTGTACATTATTGTAATTGCTAGGTATATATATTATATATATTTCGTTACAATTATCGCTGAATCCACATTTTCCTCAAATATACGCTCAAATATGAAGTAATAAGTTGTACTCCTCCAGTAGAGTAGAAGTTGATTTATCTTAAAATTATTGTCCTTTTAAATAATATTAATATATCTAAAATATTCGTAATATCTGATCTGTTGATAATTTGCTGATGTAATGATGCTGTGTTTATAAAAATTAATATTATAAAAAGTAGAAACTGATTTCTTGTTCAAAAAATAAAATTTAGTTTTACGCAAAGTTGTATACAATTAATTATTAATGTCACCTATGCCGGGAATTTGAATGATATAAGATTTATATATAATTATAAATTTAGTTGGAATGAATGATTTTTTAAATGAAATAAAATATCCTGTTAATAAAGCGAAAATTTTATTTCAGTTAAAGCTTTCTAATTTGCTCTCATTTTTTATAAAATGAGCAACGAGCGTTGTAAAAATAAAACCTATTGAAAATTTATTTTTCTTATAAATTATTGAATGTTTAATGGACTATCCTATTCAATTGTTACGCTGTGTTTTTCCTCTTTCATTTCATTTCTTCGACCAAAAATCTAATAGGATATATAGGAATATAATTTCTAAATCCTATAAACATACATAAATACGTAGATGCATTCAAACATGTGCAGATATATACATATATGTACATATATATATATATATATATATATATATATATATATATATATATACACATACATAAAATAAGCATTAAAAATCCTATAGCTGTTATTAAAGATATTTCATGTGTATATTTTATTACTGCTATATGTTTGTAGCTCAAGTCATATTAGAGACATGTTAAAATATCGTTTAATAATAAATTTTTAGTACTTCTTTATTTTTAATTGTTCACTTGGGTTCGGTAATATAGAACATTTAAATAGTATTGAAAGTATCTATAAATATTAATTATGAATTAATATTGATTATGTACGATTGATAATTACAATTTAGTATTCATTATTTAACGATAAAAAAAAAACAATTTTTTGCAAATAATTTTTTAAAATATATCAGATGTAAGAAAACACTATTTGTTAAAGTCATTAATTATTCCTGTGTTTTTTTATTTGATAGACTGACATATCGCATAAAATTAACAAAATCGCGTTTCTTTAAAGAGACAGAATTGCATGATATCGTATCACTTAAAAAATTTTGTTTCGTGTTTTATCTTGTTTCTTGAAATGCATATCTACGGTCAGTTGATAAGGATAATAAGGGTTTCCACGGAATATTAATTCATTGTATAATAATTATCTAAATTTGTATAATATAAATCTTCATATAAATCTTCTACTTTTTTACTAGGTAATTAATTTTTTTAAATCGGTAAATCAATATGTCCCAATATAGCCAATTAAAAATATTAATACTATTCTTTAAATATGACGAACATATTTTGTGAATAATAAAATCATTTTCTATAATTTTAAAATAATTTTAATTTACAAATTTACTACCTCAAAATATGAGTAAATTTCATCTTAAGCTATCAATTTCTTTTTGTATTTAAAGTTCTATCTAATATAGATAAATATACATGATTCAGATCGTAGTATAAAATATAACAGCTATAAATAAAATTCAGGAATATCGGATAATAACATAACTTTCTATTTGTATTTTACAAATATGTACGTACTTCAAGTTTCTTGAATTCTAGTAAAAGTATAGCAGATAATTCGATTGCATATTCTATCTGAATACACATGTCAAGTTGTATATATAATGTTAAATGAAAGAATTGGAGCACGAAGTTACGCCCGTTAAATTAAGAAATTGTCAGTAAGAAAAATCTTTTTCTTGAATAGTCAAGCATATAGAATGAAAGTAACAATTACTATGAAATAATATCAAATTAAAATAGTATATGAGAGAAAGAGAAAAGATCTCGGTAACGTTTAAAATTCTACAAATAAGTTCTAAAAATAATAAATAAGTTCATTACTTTTTTAATTCAAATAATTTTTAATTATTCGAAAATGAGCAGAAAGATTTATAATGCTAGATAAATTATTGCAGAATAATATATAATTGAGCAGATCATAGTTTTGAAATTGGCTTTTAAACTAAAACATTATCAGTCAAGTGACTCTTACAAATTGAAATATTCATTTATGACATTTTTAATGTATCATTAAATCCTAAATTTTTATGATTTAGGTGGAAACTTTCGATTAGATGTAAAAAATATCTTTAAATATTATAGACATAACTAGATATAATTAATCATGGTTACAGTTTTCCTACTTGTTTATTAGTAATTTATAAAAATCGTTGGTTACCATTAAAATTAGATCTAATAGTTATAGTTATTACATAATATACTCTTAATAAGGTAGTATTATCTTTAGATTGCTACAACATCATTGGCTTCGATTTTCACTCCCAATTATAAAATCGAACTGACGGATTCTTAGATTTCATGTAATTAAATTACGCTCAATAGTATTTAATTTGTCTCGTAATATTATACGAATTGCTTGTGATAATATAAAATAGTTTTCTCGCAGATTTGCAAAGGATATTAAATGCTTTCAGTCTCATTCTACATAAACACATAATTTTGATATATGCACGTATATTTGTGTAAGTTCTTAATCCATATTTAAACATAGCTTTCGTATATGTTATATTTATAGAAAAGCAAACATTATAAAAATTATTGTAAATGTAATTTAGAGTCTTCTAGTCACTATTAAAAAAATTATTCTCCTATTCAATAAGTTTGTGTTATATATAAGAAATTTATTAAGTTTAAATTGTGGTTGAATACCAAATGAATACATCTGTATTTCTAGTAAACTTTAAATTTTTTCGAACATTGATAATTTGTTTGTTATTTTAACTTGCTATAATTCTAGCAGTAATAACGTACGTAATAGAACGAGGTATAGTGATATATATATATATATATATATATATATATATATATATATATAGACATGATTTAGGCAATTTCAATTGCATGCAGTGAGTGTCGAGAGAGAGAGAGAGAGAGAGAGAGAGAGAGAGAGAGAGAGAGAGAGATGGAGAGGGGGTGAAAATATTGCGTATGCGCGTGTGCATGTATATCTGTGTGTGCGTGTCTGTGGATGTATGTGACAAATGTACATAGATTAGATGGAACATAGCGTGCCCGCTAACAGCAAACAATTTGTGTAGAGCGTGTGCTTGTGGTTATGGATTTTTCAGCAGGCCTACAGTCAATACATCCCGGCCACGAGGGCCCAAACCTCGTCAGGCCAACCTGGTGGAGGCCAAACGGGTACTGGCGTTGGAACCGATGACACTTACCTCGTCGAGGCCTCATTCTGAGTGCGAGACGAATCCGCAAACATGTGTTTGCCCTAAGTCCGAGTGCTTGTCTAACTATTTCCCCGCTCTGCACAACATTTTAATATCGTGGAAATTGCACATATGCATTGAGACAGATGATAAATATGGAATCAGAACCTGATACTCGATTGTAGACATTGCGATATTAGCACTTGTTGAAAGAATGATATTTAAATATATGTATACACGCGCGGGCGCATACACACATGTGTGTACATAAATAGAGAAAATAGAGAGAGAGAGAGAGAGAGAGAGAGAGAGAGAGAGATAAAGCACGAACAATAATTCTAAATTAATTAACACCACCTTTAGCTCTATTGACACGACTGATTCTTGCACACACATACGTAGAATCAAACATTTAGTGGTAGCTTCGAATGTTAACTGAAGACTTAACGAATAAAGATAAAATATAATTGATGGACAGACGTAACGGCACATAACCTGTTAGTTTTTCTTTCCCATTTATTCCCGATGTTTATCGGTAGGAAAGAAAATGCTCACGGACACTCAGGGGATACGTACACCTACGTGTGCGTTCTCACGAGTTCCGTAGGAAGATACTTAAAGATTTAATTGACAAAATCAAACTAAGCAACAGCAATAAACAAGCCAAGGCAGGCAATCAATCAAAAAATTCTTCTATTTCCCTATTTCTCATGTCAACTAACTCAACGATCAACTGGTGTTTCATCGATTGTTCATCAATCCGTTTTCAACTCTGCATTATTCGGCCAACGACGACGACGACAACGCCGATGGCCTCGACGATGACAATATCACGATTCATCGTTAATCGTCGCCAATACCAATGATGATCGCATTACGACTGTCACCTTCCTTGAACGTGCCCTGTGATTCTTGGAATTTTTGAATTTGAATAACTTTGATTCAAAAACAAACGACCGATCAATCATATATGGATGTTATTGTGACAATGGAATGATCGTGCTATACGAACTGTACTATGCTTACAAATAACCGAACTGATGCTGGAATCCTCATTATAACGATTATTTGCGATGAAATTTGTAATGACAATACATCGATATAAAAATAAAAAATATATATACATATATATATATCATCGTCGATAATAGAGCTTGTCGTATCAGCTAACTGCCACGGAAAACAAGGATAGAGTGGTGCTCATATACAGCGATCGTATAGAAGTAAAAATAAAGGTAAAGAATATTTGGGAAAAGAGACATTCATACTGCATAGACACAACAAATTTTTTTGAGCACGTCAATTGCTGACAGCGAATGATCATTATAACATTGATTATATATCTCGATATATTGTATACTGATGTCAAGCACATACGCTTTTATATTTATAACGTTAATAAATGTGCAGAAGAATAGCTCAATGTACAATGACAAACTAGCAAGATATGTAGAGGACTTTTAATAGATATTCAGAGAGGGAGAGAGATTAAGAGAACACGAAAAGTGGAGGAGGATTTTTCTCCTGTATCATCATTGTATGAATCCTGTGAACAAACGAGAAACATCTAGAAAAATCGCTTCGCCTGGCTTCTTCCTCTATTTATTATTGTGAAAACATAAGCTAAATTCTCAGAAAAGAAGAAACGTGGCCATAAGTGTGGATCTTTTTTATATTCTTATACTTCTATATATTCTTACATTCTCTATGTCTCGGTGTCTATTTTATTTATAGCCTGCATATTTGCATCAATACCTTCACACATATCGTCCAATTAATTAACAAGATTGCTTATTTTATGCTATAATATGGCTTATTTTTCATTCTTTTTGTATCTATACTCACTTTTAAAAAAATTTTTTTTTTTATTTTTATAATATAATAAAATGATTATTGCTTTATATAAATTTATTAAATTATCTCTCTCCCATATTTTACAATGGTTAAGAATTTTCATTGTATTCATTGATTGTATACAATGACCCTTCTTACTTTTGTAAGAATCTTGATTCATTCTATAAACCTGAACTAATTTATGTGTAACCATATATTGATGTTGTTGTGATATTAACATTAATAAATTGAATGCTTACTTTATGAATATATTTTATCAATATCATTTAACTCACTATAGTTGTATGTAGTCTACAAATTTAGTTTAATATTGTTATACTTATTGAGTTTATATATATATATATTATAGACATTATTATGATTTTTTATGCAATTTTAATTATAACAAAATTATGATATCTATGGTAAATGACTAATTGTACTAATTCTAATTTATTGTTACTAAATGTTTTACCTGTATTCTCTGTTAATTATTAGAGAAACGTATGAAAATCCTAATAAATATTCATAGTATTGCTTATGTACGTAGTCTTGCTGTAAGATAAACGAAGTAAAAAATTTATGTCGCATGTCGCTTGAAAATGTAGTTCGCTTTGATTCCATACATACTCGCATACATACTTGCATATAGGTATATGTATATATATATACATACGTATACATAATTTATGCACGTGTGTGCGTGCGGGAGCGTGTAAGTGTGTAAATGTCTTTTCTATAGTTCTCCATTTTTAAATCGCTTTGACAAAAGTAAGCAGGGTTTCTACGGATTTGCGTAGATATAAGTGCACACGATAGAAGCTTGAACTTCTTTATTGAAACATGAAAAGAAAGAAAATGCCATTGCTATGAGATCCTGCTTCTTTTGCGAAACATAGAAGAGGATATTCTTGTGTACTAGTAATTCTTTTTTTAGAAGGGGAGCATGGAAAAAATGTGTTGAAATGAACAAGAAAATGAGATGTGAGAATGATTAATATAGCGAAGTAGAAAGACGCTTTAAATAGAGAACAGTGGAAAAGATAATTGAATGTATGCAATAGTCTCTGTTAAAAACAAATATTATTTTTACAATACGGATCGCTACAAATAATTCGTATTCTATTGATACGTGGAAACAAGAAAGTCAATTAAACGATATAAGACAGTGAATAATTTATGGCATTTAATCAATTCTTTCAGTATAAACATTTTCTCTTTCTTTGCAAGTGATATACTGTGCATCAATAAACATATAATTTCATTGAATTATTAAAAAATGAAAAGGTAATTTTATATATATTAATTTATTAATACGAATTATTATACTTAAAATAAATTTACAATATATATTGTTTTTAAATCCAAGTTTATTCTGCACTTTACTATGTATTTTATTATTAAAGTATCAGATTACGGTAAAATTAAATTATGTATCCTATGTACAAAAGTACAATTCATCAAACGAACTTAACAAAGGCAAAATCATTAATTTTTTTTAATTTTTTCTTAACAGAGATGTGAGAGTGATTGTAAGCTTGAGATAGAGATAGCTAGAGGCGACAAGAATGATAACAACACAAGGCCGACAAAGAAGAAAGGAATTGAAACATGTCCGAAATGCCAATTGTTACAGGACTTAAAGAAGCGCGGTTCCCACACCTGCGACATGCAGGCCCTACAGCCACTTCCAGTTCCTACCACCGCCATGCCTGCTATGAGTACATCCGGTGGGCAGTCACCACATACGGTTTCGGAGACTGCATGAGTCGATATCAGAGACCAATAAGTACTACCACGACCTCAACCACAACTATCACCAATCCGCTATTGATTCACCTACTACTACTGAACCAACGACCTCCTCTACTCGCTCGAACAATAATGACAGTCAGACTTATCTGGTATTGCTTATATGGTGAGCCCATTAAACTACCTTCAGCTTCTAAGATTTCTGGGCTGTCTTCGCGTCCATCAGTGTTTTTAGTTCTAGGACTTCGAAATGTCATTTCTAATGCAATCTCAGTTAACGGTTGTGTAGAATTCAATGTGATAATGATAAAACCAAATTAACTACAGTTGATCAAAAGATAATTGACGTTTCACTTTTTCTCTACTAATAATTCATTGTCTAGGAGAAACATTGATTATCAATTAATTGTGCGTATATCTTTGTAAAGGCTTTTAGAAAGAACAAATAAACCAAAAACTCAAAAGTATTTAAAATTTTTTAATTTGTGACGATAATAATGATTTTGTTTAATAATTGAACGAAGAAACAATGTGTATAATATATTTATTTTTATTGGAATAATATTTCAAATTATATGCTTTATAAATTTATTTCGAGTTATTTTCTGTCGAAAAATTCAAATTAAAATTTTTTTTCTAAATAAAATATATTCGCAATATGTTGCAAGAATCCTTTGAGCAAATAATAACAATGTCATTGTTATAATAATATGGATATGGACAATTTGGATGCGAAGGTAGCTCTCATTTTGCTTTAAGTGTAAGGTAAATAATACAAAATCATCAATTTCCAAATAAAACTGATTGAAACGTCACATTAAGAAAGCTTTCAAATAAATATAAATACATAATGAATAATAGTGTAGTTGCGTGTAAATGTACGAGTATCATCGATAAATGTGATTAGAAGGGAAAGAAATTTTGAAATCCTATCGAGACGAATGAATATTTCAAAGCCTACTAATACTCTGTTAGGTTTCGATTGATTTAATAGCGAGGCATTGAAAAATAGTATTAATTACTATCTCGGATTCGTCCAAGAACAACTATTGAAATGACACTGAGATATAAAAATGAATGAACGAATGTTGAAAGTATAATTGTTGATTGCGATCTAATACTGGTATTATAGCTTACCCGCGGAAGGTATTCTAGGAATCTCATGATAGCTAAGACATAAATATGGAATTGGATACATTCATATTGATTGGTATCAAGTATTATGTCGATTCAATCTTAACGCACAATTTTTCCAAAACTTAAGACCATTATTCTTGTTTGTTTTTTTTCTATTTTATGACGAAAGGTTATATTTCTTTATCATGCAGCATTACTTTCTATTCATGAAAATTTCTTTTTTACACTATCCACTGTGGGTAATGTGGGTTTAATATTTATCCTCAGTTGTAGCATGTGTACATACAATGTTCAAGCATAAAATACAATTATACAATATGCACATTTATTTATATATTGAAATCAATTTTTTCGTTTGTTTTCATTTAATTATCATAACTTTTTCTTCACACTTTGTGCATTTTTTTACGATTATTACTTAAAGTTATAATTACGAGAGCTCGAAAAAGAATAATAAAAGAGAATAATACATAAGTTATGTAGTGCTGTGAATAAGGAGAGGTGACATAAAAATAATAATGTAAAATGGATTCATAAGTGATAAAGAAAAATGTAAAAAATAAAAGCATTCGACTCAAAGGAAATCTCCAAATGATCAAGAATGAAGTTAAGTATCCACTTTGACGTATTTATTTAATTCGATGGCTGTATTCGAGAAGAATAAGAAATACACTAACTTAATGATTAGGAAGTTTTCATAAAATATGAGCTGGAATTTCTGTAGGTAGTAATTCGAGACGTTTGGTGCTACATATAGTTCCATGCAGTTTGAAACGACTTGTTCTTAGGCTGGTGATCGTCCCTTATTAATAGATGGAATTGGACTATTTTACCCGTACATTTATACTATAACTAATGAAAATTGCTCATACTAAAAGAGCTGTAGATAAGAATTTTTATCTTTAGCATTTTTTCACGTTCTAATGTTTTTACTACAATGACTACAATTTAATCTAGCTAATATTTGATAATTCATCTTTCAATTTAAAACAATCAGTCGATTTTAATTAGGTAAAGGATGTATTAATTATTAAATAATTAAAAATGATGTCTAACCATGTCAACTCGATTTAAATTACATTATATAATAAAATATTTAACAAATTTATGATTTTTTCGAAGACATTTCTTCTTGTAGTTCATTAACTAGGAGACTTACCGTAGTGTAGACATTTTTCACGGAATTATAATCGATAATAATAATTTTAATTATTGTTACATATTATAAATGTTAAAAAATTATGGAAATATACACCAATGACTTGAAATAATAAATTTCATATGCGCAACCATTCGACGTTATCTTCGTTCGCCTCTGCTGGGGATTTCACCTCTATTTTTTATCGAGCTATATAAAAAGAAATACCCATGGTTTCAAGATTATTGAGATCATAAATTGATGATTCTTCTTTTCTGTTTCAAGAACAATGCTATAAACGAAAGATATATTTTTATATTTTTAACAATTATTCCAACATTCCTTTTTGGGTAAATAACTTTTAGTATGTCAATGTCTTCATCTTCAATTTCAACTTATATTGATATTTCTTTTTCTCTCCTCATAATAACGTCGAATCTAATAATAATTTTACATTAACATATCTATATAATTATTTATTATTTACATTACATATTTATAATTTTTCTTTAATATAAGTAATTACATTGTACATTACAAATCCACACGATTTGTTGAAATGGTCTTAAAATCTTAATTGCTTTGCTTATTTGCGACAATCTATACAACAACTTTACTATTTCTCTTATTGCAATATTGATTCTCATTATTGTGTGAAATTAAATTTGAAAATTTAAATTAACATTTCGGAAAATCTTGGACATAGAGTATATTTCAAATAGGAATTTCTTAACATAGATCCATTTCGGTCAATGAAATTACAAATCTAATGTAGAAAATTTTTCCATATTCTAGAAAAAGAAAAAAGGCGAAGAAGCGTGGAGGGAGAAACATAGCGTAATAAAATTCTATATTCTTCTTTATATTTGCAGCTGCGATGACAGACAAATTCAAGTGAATCAGAGGTACCGAGTGCCAAGAATTTTTAAGGATATGACCGGCGAGCGTCGCACGTTATCATCGGCTGGATGGATGAACGAAGATGGGATATAAAAACATTAAAATTAAAATTAAAATTAAATTTATAACATTAAAATAAATTTTGAACAGAAGCTTATTGATAAATGGAGATAAAATATAGTTTATAATAAAAAAAAATATAAAATTGTAACAGCAGTTCCGGTATTATGGAAAGAAATATATAATAATATATTGCGCCTTGTAATATAAAAAAAGTGTAGGTTCGACCTTAGATTAGTTGCTCTTTGGAACTTGTCTGCGCAGCAAGCTATTTATTTTTCTTTTTCATTAATTTGAAATGTTGATAGAAAATTATAGATGATAATGAGTCTAGGGGAAAAGATAAAACTAAAAAGAAATCTGAAAATGCAATAAAGATATCCATTGTAAAATAGTGGCCTTTTCTCGTTCTTGCAGTATAGATCACTGAGTAGGAAATAGTTTAAACTAAAAATATATACAACAGTCAGTAGTTTTCAATAGTTATTAATAAAGCTATGAAATAATAGATATATCTTTGTTTTATAAAGAAAAATAATGTTTCCATCTATATATTTATAAAATCTATATATTAAAAATTTATAGAGCTCGTTACGTTTCAATTAAAATCCATTATTTCTAATAATAAGTAATTGGTGTTTTTACAAAAAAGTATCAGTTTTGTATAAATTTAATTTTATTAAAATATTGACTCCTCATATAAATTTAAATAGCCTTTGACATTAACAATGATTTATTTCAAATTTAGACTTAATCAATATCAATTTTCAGTGCATGCAATATATATATATTATTTTTTATATATTAAATATATATATATATATATATATATCTGATACAATTAATATATGTATTTTTTTTTTTAATTAGTTGAAAATTAAAAATTCTATCTCAATTAAATAATTTAATTTGTTCGGAGATAATGAAAAATGCTGATCTTAAAAATTAAAATCTTCACAATAACTCATATTTTTTACTAGTGATAGGGGCGAATTTTTGCAATTTTTGCTGCGTTCGATGAATTAAAATAAAGAAAAAATTCCGGTGAACAATAATCTGTAATACTGATGATAGAGATAAAAATCGCATATGTATGCGTCAGTGGGTACAAAATTATCTGATATGCAATGATAGTAAAATAGTTACAAAACAGTAGGGAAA